AGCAGGCTGAGGTTATGTTATTTGATCACATAAAATGCAGTTCAAAGAAACCCTTTTTGTGGGCAATTCAGGTATGTTTGTTCTGATGTTGATTTTTCAAGGGGCTGGTTAGAACTTCTCCGTTTTTCTCTTGCAACTTGAAAGAAACAACACCTTTTACCTTAGAGGCAGACAAGTCGCCAGGAAATGATGGGGTTTCAAAGTAAGAGAAAAGAGATTAAAACCACATGCTGTTCTTTAGTTCGGCATTACATCCGCTAGTTTGAATGGCAGCTGCTCCAGTTTTTGAATGTAAGCCAGATTCATTATGCTGTGAAATTATCACTCATTTCTCTAGGTGTGCTCTTTTAACTGCTTAATTAATTTAGATGTGGGCATATATATTCAAATTAAAACACGATTTACTGTAGTAGGATTGAGTTATGGTTATAGACTTCTCATTGAACACGTTTTTATTTAACTTTTAGCTTCTTAAACAGGAGTATTTAAAAATACCTGTATGCAGAACGTAGGTTGACAAAATGGCAGTATCTGTTCGAATTGATCCTTAGTCTTTCTGTAAACACCAGAGAGTTCTTAGCAGTTACCGGTTACTTGTTCTGACAACTCACCGAGAGGTAGTACCTCCAGGGGTGCGGTGCCTCCGGAGCTGAGCGCAGGATGCTGACGGCGAGGCAAGGGCACCCCCTTCCGAATTGCCGAGACCAGCAGTGCCAGCAGCACCCGGGGGAGGCTGGATACTTCCTACCCAACCTCTTTCCTTTTCTAGTGGAGGAGGAGAGGGGTGACAAGGCATTTATTTACTTCGGTTCCTCCCCTGCAAAAGCAAACAAAAAGTAATGAGGATTTTTTTTCTGTCTCATCTAAAGAATTCTTTTGTCTGGCTGAAATACATCATGAAGCTTCCTACAAAAATACATGTGCACGCATACAGAGAGCAAAAGGGAGGAAAAAAGCTGACAAGTCAGATTTGCATGCCCCTCTAACATACTCCTTCTGTATTTGCAGGGAGAACTAATCACCTTCTATTACTATTGGAAGAAAACCCCTGAAGCAGCAAGTTCTCGAGCCCACCGTAGGCATCGAAGACAGGCTGTGTTTCGGAGAATTAAAACTCGAACTGCTTCCACTCCAGTCAACACTCCCTCCAGGCCCCCCTCCAGTGAATTCTGTAAGTGGAAGCTAAAAGCAATGCATTTATCTTTGTTTAGATGCAGGGAGCAACAGTAATGTAATGGTGCTGTACCTTCAAGTGAATGAAGCAAGGAAATGCAGTTCAGGCAGTTGCCCTCTCCTGTTCCTATAGCATTATGCTGGAATGTGGTAGGCGTCTTTGATCACCAGTTGCTTTGTGCAGTTCTTAAACATAAAAGCATCCTGTAAGAATGGAAGCATTGCCCTGGTACTGAATTTCCCTACTCTTTCCTTGGGTTTCTGTTGTATTTTCTCCAGGCTTACTACAATAATGGGAATTAGAAAATGCAAAAAGAAGGAAGTCCTTCATCCCGTTGGAAGGAAGTCCCTTTCATCCTTACTTGGTGACCCATATCTTCTGCTTGATCTCAGACAGTGTGCTGCAGCCAGCACTGTTGTATCTTAATGTATTTTGGAAGAACTTTGGCCTTGACTGAAGCAGAAGTGTCTAAACAAAGAATAATTACCCAAACTAGTGAAATGTACTGCATCAGAAAGGGTTATGATGAGTAATGTGTATGTGGATGTATAAACTTTTATTCTTAGGTAAAAGGCTTATGTTACCTGTGGGTTTTAAGTCTTTCTATGGACTAAACCCAGCACATTTCACATGCCTTCTAAAGGAAAGGGACTATGTGGAAGGCAGAAATTGGCGGAATCTTAGTAATATGGGGGAGGAAAAGGATGTGGTGAGCAGGCAGGACAGAGAATTCTGGAGAGGGTATTAGGTAGCTAAGGTAAGGGCTATTAGCTGCTCCTTGCTGAAATTCATAGGATTTACTGCCGATTTCTGTATGCACACGAAGTGAGGATCTTGACTCTACAGCTCGATCCAAGATGCTTGGCACTTCAGAGTGCATGTGGCTGGAAGGACCCATCCATATGGATTTTGCAGGATGAGAATAAAAATCAATTTAGTTCTAGCCTGGTGTCAATTTTGCAGTCAGGGTTTAAACACCTGCAAGAATTATGTAGAAATTATGGTAGTGCCCGGTGTTAATTTGAAGGGTAATGAGTTGATGAGAAACACTAATGGCAAGTACTGTGGAATCCCTCCCTCTGTATAACCTGCATGTATTGCAAAATACCTCTTGGAACCTTTAGAAAAACAGTATTCTTGCATCAAGGACTTCTTTTCTAATTAAAGATACGAACAAAAGAAGCCACAAGGCTTTCTGCTTGTGATAAATTAGAGACCTGTTATGTTGTGAATTTATAGTGGTGCTAGAAAAATGCAGTACTCTCAGTAAGAAAGGATTTTATCCTGAGTTGTTTTAGAAGATGAGGTAAGATACAGTTTTGTGATATCTGCAGATTTTCAGTGGTTTAGATGGTGCTTTTTAGCTCACAGCCTTGTAATCGGCTAATTTCCCATATATTGCTTGCCACAAAGGAAAGGGACTCTTTCTATATTCTCCACTTCTTCGAAACATGACGTTCTTGAAATGTAAGTTTGCCACAGGTTAACACTCTCACGGAGGCTTGCAGTAAGAATTGGAAAGCTGGTAGTATCCGTGTAGTACCTCTCATCCAAAAAGAATCACAACGTTTTTCAAACAGGCACATTATATGCAAGCATCATTTCTTCCACCCACAAAACATATCTAGTTCTTGGCTTAAATATAGCCACTGTCTAACAGAGCATAGCAGCAGTCCCCATCTGGTTTTGAAGATGAAGTCTAGAAACAAAATAAAAACCAGAAAAGCCACCACAATATCTGTCCGTGGAATCTAGTAAAGTAGGATTTAGGTATAGAATATTTGATTTTTAAATTTGACCAGGTTTTAGAGATATAAATTTCCTTTCTCTTGAAAATTGTGCTTTTGGAACACAGCCTGTCTAACTAAGCATGAACAGTATTTGAATGACAACTTAATTGGAAAAGTACCGTGTACTGAGTCAAAAGTTCTGTGAATTGTATCACTTGGTGCATTCCTGGAATCCTCCTTTAATCTGTAGACTGATCAGGTCTGGCCTTGCTTAGTTTGCAAAATCAGAAATAATGGCCGTCCAAGGCAAGGTGATTGTAGGAAGTCACAAAATTTATGTGAGTACTATTATTATTAATGGTTATTTTAGCCAAGTAGGAGGAAATAGAAAATCCTGCTGAGTTTTTCTTTTCCATTTTCCTGTTCTTCCCTTGTCCTTTACTTATTCAGTGGACTTGAGCTCGGCCAGTGAAGATGACTTTGACAGCGAGGACAGTGAACAGGAACTGAAGGGCTACGCCTGTCGTCACTGCTTCACAACCAGTATGCACCTGATTCATTGCTGTATTTCTCTCCTTTCTGCTACTGCCTATTTAATGCAGGTTCATTCAAGCAAGAGCAGTTTGTGTGCATGTACAGCTGTTCAAAAAAAAATGTGGGATTGAATCAGCTAAAATATGCAGCATTCTTAGCAGAGTTAATCATGCTTTGCCATTGCAAATTAATATTGCAGTGACAAAGGAGAATCCTGAGAGGTAGGCATTTATACAGGAAAAAATCTACATAATCCATAATCTATATAATCCATTTGTGATATAGAAAATCAATATTGGACTGTGACTATCACACACAAAACTTCTTTACGCTGCACCAAATCTCTTCTGCGGCAGCCTTATTCCTGTAGGTATTCCTGAAGGGTGTCTGGTATTTGGGCATACGCACAGCATGGAAGTGTGAGCCCCAAAATAGGGAAGGGAAGGAAATGAGAAGTTCATCACTCGCTTCACTTTAAGAAACCACAGCTTTGGAGAATAATAGCTGCCTGTTACCTCCCAGGTAGAGCAGATAAGGCTTCTTTCTTTGTTTTCAAAGCTGTAAGTTGCTTAAGTAAACAGTTTGTAAATTGAATATTGAAGATGTGCACTGGAACATAGACTAAGCCTGGAACAGGACAAAGTTTTCCAGAAATTTCTCCAACTTTGTTACCTGTAGAAAAGCAGCTGCTTTTCTGGTTGTTGTGTGCTTTTTTTAATAATGCAGTGTATTTGTGTTGAATATCTGGTACATTTCTAAGCTGTTGCTTTTGCCATCCCAAGCCTCCAAGGACTGGCACCACGGCGGTCGAGAAAACATTTTACTGTGCACCGATTGTCGCATTCACTTCAAAAAATACGGAGAGCTGCCACCCATTGAGAAGCCTGTAGACCCTCCACCCTTTATGTTTAAGCCTGTCAAAGAGGAAGATGATGGACTCAGTGGAAAGCATAGCATGAGGACAAGGCGGAGTCGAGGCTCGGTAGGCTTAACACTCTTGCGTTGCAGCAGCTTCTGTAAAGATGAGGTGTTGTCTGGAAAAAGGCAGTTGCACTTCTAAAATGATGCTTTCTCCGTGTTGCTTGTTTGCCATGGTATGTGCCTGCTGCTGCATTTGTGTATGCAAGTGTGAGATTTGCTGAGGCTGAGGTTTCCTTTGGAAAAAGGAGCAGAAATGTCTCTTCTGCAAGTTCTAGTCAAACTTATTTTCATGTTTTTAATGACTGGCAGTGGACTGTCATCATAAGGGGCCCCTTGACCAGTGTATCATTACAGATTTAGTCCTAGTGTGTATCCTTCTTCCAGGTGGATCCTGTCAGAGGTAAGCCCTTGGGCTTGTTTTAAAGGAAGAGTTTTAAAAAATTAAATGCTATTCATGTGGTCTCCTCGTATTACTGGAGTTAAAATCTCTTCCCTACAGAAAACTGTAGTTTGCACCTATGGTCAGAGTTTTTACTCGGGGTGAAATGCCGGGAGCCTTACTGTGCGCAAGTCGCTTGTGAGAACTGACAGCAGCTTTAGTTAATGTGATGTTTGCTTTGGGTTTTGGCTGATAGAAAGCAGCAGATAAATTTCTTATCCTTGCCCTCCCCTCTCCATCTTTCTGATCATGATGATTTGACCATTGCTTCTAAGTATCTTCTGAGGCTACACTGTCAGGTGAGGTTGGCTTCATTGTTTTTATGGTAGCCAGTCATCCAAAAAACTGCTAAACTGGGAGGGAGACAGCATTAATTACTGAAATATACTCTATTGTGATTCCTTATTGCATAGCAGGAGCACATTGAAACTGTTGGTTTAGAAACTGGTCTTGACTGCTTGAATGCCAACAGATAGACTTTTTTTTTTTAATGGAACACGAGGGTCGTCACCTGCCTCATTCACTGTGTGTGTATGCACGCTTATAAATATGCGTGCATGTGTTTTATGAAGAAAATTTAGCATGCAAACAGCAGCAGCTTTGGAACATTTTTCTAATGCTGTCATTCCTAGCAGACACTACTAAATAAAATAACCAGCCCTTAATGTTTTTGAGTAGACAAATCAAGGATTTGCCTCCTTTTACGGAAAAATTGTTACTATGCTAAATGCTTTTGGTTTTTCATTTTTTGAGCTCTTAGCAGGAGTGCTCCATCCATGCTTCTGATGTAAGGCAAAAAAGTAGAGAGGTCGGACAAATGCTGACTTTGGTATACTTTTATTTCTGTTAAACAAATAGATGTCTACACTACGTAGTGGTCGTAAAAAGCAGCCAGCCAGCCCTGATGGTAGAGCCTCACCTATTAATGAAGACATCCGTTCCAGTGGCCGCAACTCTCCTAGCGCTGCCAGCACCTCCAGTAATGACAGCAAAGCAGATTCAGTGAAGAAGTCTACCAAGGTAAAATTTTCCTTTTCTTCATTTGTGTTAGGACTGGATACCTGAGGCCTCTTCAATCAGCTAAATGAGATGCAGATTTTAGGAGGCCAGGGAAATCTCTCAGTGACTTAGAAATTCCTACTTGTGTGGATAAGCAAAAAATTTAATGGTGCATCTGACTGATGCCTTGTTCCTGTACATAAGGATGTGTAGTGATAAAAACCATTAAAGTATACCCACATAACCTTACTGCTCTCATGAGGAATTAATCCTTCAATTTCAGATGCAAATGCAAGCATTAGACTCATGGAAGTAATACAGATCAGAAATGCTGTATTTGAGACAAGTAGACAGTTTTGGGGATTTTTTTTTTTAAGCAGTACTTAATCTTTGTTTACAAAGGAATATGAATATGTAGCAATTGAGACTACTGCCGTTACTGTTTTTCTGTATGTATATTTGCTTGATTTTTCAAAGAAAGCTGACAGTTTAGTCTGTTTAAATGAGTAAGTGCCTTTCCAAGAGAGTACTGAAGAAACAAAGCCAGATGAAGCAGGAAGGGTTGCCATTAAGCGGTGTAAATTGAGAAGTAGCAAGTTAAAAATAATTTTAAAAAAAAAAAAAAAGAGTCAAAACTGTAGTATGGAGCAAGTTTTCACATGATAAAACTGAGAACTTAGCAAAATTTGAAGTTAGGTTAGGTAATTATGTGATGTATAAAGCTGTCCCAGCCCATGAAAGAAGGTAGTAATCTCGTAATAGCTACTCACTGTTAGCCCTATATTTGAGGGGGTATAAAAATATCCCTCTCAAAATATCAGGAGTAAAGCAAGACTTTAATGTAGTAGAAAGAGGCTTATCCTGTGCTTGTCTACTGCAGAAATTCTTGCTCCATCCTCTGTTAACAACTGGTGTTGGTCTCTATTAGAAGAGTATACTGGGCCAGTTGATCTGGTCTGAGTTCCTGATGGACTTGATTCTGCACAGCTGAAGATGGAAAGACAACTGCTTTGTTTAAAATATTCCCTCACTTTCAAAGCTCGAGACCACATCTGCATGATGAGGAATGCTTTACTCGACGTTCCTTTTTCCTACTAGCTTGTGTCCGAAATGTGTGCAGGGTTTGTGTGCAAACTGCTCCTTGGGTTTCTGTCTGCAGAAGTTAAATTGCAGTCTGTTTTGGGTTCCGTCTTCAATTTGACCTCCAGAGGGAGTGGCTAGAGCATTCTGTAGATGCAGGCCTTCTGGGAGCTGCTCCTGGCAGATGGCAGAACACAGCAGCAGCTCCAGAACAGATTCCCCTGCAAATTGGACAGAGGGACAGATGCGTATTGGATTGTTGTTAAATGCTCAACTTCTGATCAGTTCTCCTGCTCCATAGGAACCCTTTTCATTTATTTGTATTAAATAGAGTGGCACTGGTATACGTTCAGTTTACTTTCTCATTTATATCGCTGGTAACTGTTGTGTTCTGCTTCATTTGTGGCAGAAGATAAAAGAAGAGGTATCTTCTCCTCTCAAGAACTCCAAGAGGCAGCGGGAAAAGGCAGCTTCTGACACAGAGGAACCTGACAGGTCTAATGCCAAAAAATCCAAAACTCAAGTGAGTCCCACAGAGGAATATTTTCTCTTAGGAGAATGGTTTGAGAGTGGGAGGGCGTGCAAACCTGGTAACAAACCAAAAACATGAAATCAATTTAAGCCACAGCAAATTGTAACTTAATCAGCGGCTGGAAAGTAAGCCATATTATAATGTGTTCCTTCTGTTGAAAAACAGCGGAATGATACGGGGTAAGTCCAGAAGTCTTTTTTTTTGTTTTAAGATGAATATCAACCATATAGGAGTATACTTGCATTATTTTCTATCCCCTCCCCCCAAATTTTTTTAAATGGAATTTGTTTTTTCCTCTTCTGTGGCAAGTTAGAAGACTACCACTGGAGTTCTCTTAATTTAATGGTATCAAAGCTCAATTGAAATACTTTTAGGATGTCTTTTCAGCTCCATGTACCTGACCAGGTTCACTCTGTGCACAGGATTTGGGAATTTTGGCACTGAGTTTTCCATATTACAGAATCACAGAATGGTTGAGGTTGGAAGGGACCTGGAGGTCATCTAGTCCACCCCCTCTGCTCAAGCAGGGCCACCGAGAGCCAACTACCCAGGACCATGTCCAGATGGCTTTTGAAAATCTCCAAAGATGGAGAGTCCACAGCCTCTCTGGGCAAGCTGTTCCATTGCTTGGTCACCCTCATAGTGAGAAAGTGTTTCACTATGTTGAGGCAGAACCTCCTGTGTTTCAGTTTGTGCCCGTTGCCACTGGACGCTACTAAAAAGAGCCTGGCTCCGTTGTCTTTGCACACTCCCTTTGGATATTTATGTTGCCTCTGCTGTTTTAAGTCCTGTGAGGTTCAAAGGGTGGTACTTGCACTTGTGTTTGCACAGCATGTGTAGTAGGTTGCAATCCTACGGCAGTCGTCTTTGTGCAGTTTTCTCATGCTTGGTGGTTATTCTTCCCCCTCTCCCTGCAGGAGATCAGCAGGCCAAACTCTCCCTCAGAGGGCGAGGGTGAAGGTGAGAGCTCTGACAGCCGCAGTGTCAATGACGAAGGGAGCAGTGATCCCAAGGACATTGACCAGGATAACCGGAGCACGTCACCCAGCATCCCTAGCCCTCAAGACAATGAGAGCGACTCAGATTCATCTGCTCAACAGCAAGTGCTGCAGGCACAGCCCCAAGTGCTCCAGGCACAGAGAAAAAAAACACCTACACCTATCAGCCCAGTTACCAGCATCGCTCCCAGCAGTGTCGAGTGCTGCTTCAGCTCCACCACAGGTCTCGCCATCAGCATCCCAGCCCCCTAGCCAGCCCCAGGCCCCTGCGCCACCGCCTCCTCACTCTCACATACAGCAGGCCCCTGCTTTGCACCCGCAGAGACTCCCATCGCCTCACCCACCCCTGCAGCCTCTGAGTGTGTCGCAGAGCCAGCCCACCCCTGCCTCTTCGCAGCCTCACTCGCAGCCTCCGCTCCACGGTCAGGCCCAGCCTGCCCCTCACAGCCTGCAGGCGCAGCCCCTAAAAAAAATCCTGTACCTTCCCAGCCGTTTTCCCTCCCCACTCAGTCATCTCAGTCTCAGGTTCCCCTTCAGACACAAGCACCGTCTCATTCTCACTCCGCTCTCCAGGTTCAGGTGACGCAGCCTGTCCTGCCGACTGCAACCTCACTGCAGCAGGCTCAGCCTCCACGGGAGCAGCCCTTGCCCCCTGCACCCATGGCCATGCCTCATATCAAACCTCCCCCTACTACCCCAATCCCTCAGCTCCCCACTGCTCCATCCCACAAGCACCCTCCTCATCTCTCTGGTCCTTCTCCATTCTCGATGAACTCCAACTTACCTCCACCACCTGCTTTAAAACCTCTGAGCTCCCTCTCAACTCATCATCCCCCGTCTGCACACCCTCCTCCTTTGCAGCTGATGCCTCAAAGCCAACCACTGCAGTCTTCGCAAGCCCAGCCTCCTGTACTGACACAGAGTCAGAGCCTTCCCCCACCCGCTAATCACCCCCCATCTGGACTCCATCAGGTATCCTCCCAGCCCCCCTTTTCTCAGCATCCGTTTGCCCCAGGAGGCCCACCTTCCATCACCCCTCCTTCTTGCCCCTCCACTTCCACACCACCCACTGTGCCCGGCATCCCACTTCAGACTTCCATCTCCACATCAGCAGCTTCTAGTGGAAATGTGCCAGTGGTGACAGCCTGCACGCTACCACCTATTCAGATCAAAGAAGAAGTTCCAGATGAAGCTGAGGAACCAGAAAGCCCTCCCCCTCCACCCAGAAGTCCATCACCAGAACCTACTGTGGTGGATACACCGAGTCATGCTAGTCAATCAGCCAGGTATGGAGGTTGTCAGCAGTGCTTCCTTAGTGTGCTCTGGTTTATTGTGTAGCAGAGCACTCGCAAAAGCTGGGAAATGAGCTCCTGTGGGAGCTGAGTGCATTTTACATGTGCACCTTGTCAGCCTCTCTTTCTAGCATGAATTTGCTCTGTTTTTCTGGAAAGATGCTGTTTCAGCCAGCATATTCAGACAGGGCATTACAGTTTGTAATTGTGAGAGGGGTTTTATACTCCGCTTGTCTGTGGAGTAATGTGGTACAATAAATTTTCTCACGGCTTTCAGGGAAGCTGGTAGTGCTGCTGTGTAAGTGTAGAGTGATACTTTCTGGTTTTTGACATACAGCTCTTAAATCCCAGACTCTTGCATCTTTCACAGGGCTAAGGTCTTTGGCTTTTGTTTCTTTCAGGTTCTATAAGCACCTGGACCGTGGCTACAATTCATGCTCAAGAGCAGACTTATACTTCATGCCTCTGGCAGGATCGAAACTGGCCAAGAAGAGAGAAGAGGCCATTGAAAAGGCCAAAAGAGAAGCAGAGCAGAAAGCCAGAGAAGAAAAAAAAGAAAAAGAGAAGGAAAGAGAGAGGGAGCGGGAGCGTGAAAGAGAAGCAGAAAGAGCTGCGGTAGGTTTATTTGTAGCTAAGAGCTGTTTAAGGGAGTTGGCATGGTAGGGTCTGACCTGGATGGTGACTACAGAATGCAAATCCCCAGAAGCGCTTTAATGCATGTGCAATCAGGTATTTGTGAATATAGGAGCCTTGTGCGTTAAGTGAAAGCCAACCAGCTATGAGCTGGCCTGCCTGTGCCTTTCTTCTCTTTAAAGGAAATGGAGAGTTTCTACTCCTGGTCCGTTTCTGATGTGCGGGAAGCCAGTGCAGCTGGGGATAACTAGGCCGCGTATTTACATTTACGTGCAGTAGAAAAGCACTCTGTGCAGATATAGTGAATGCCTTTATGTGCCTTGTACTACTGTGCAGGCACAAGAGTGCTGTCTGCTGGAAAAAGGGGATCTGAAGGCTTTTTAAATTGGAAGTAAACTTAATTAACTTTTTTTGCGGGGAGACCCAAACGCCAGTCTCAGTATAAAGAGCCAGTGCAACTAATGCATTTTTCTGTGGCCTGTCGGAAAGGAATGATTACTTCTGGGTCCACAGAAATGGTAGGTTCGTAATACATTTCTGATGCTGAAAAAGAAGGTACTAAAGTCTTCTTATTCCATGGTGCATTTCAGAGATCTGAATCATAGCCACGTGTTTCTGTAGCATTATAAAAGTCAGGATGTAGCATCTCTCCATGCGTCATGTGTGGGGACTTTGCTTTATTTTGGGGATAGGGATCCTTGGGCATGGGTAAAATGTGCTTATTGCCCTCTCCAGAAGTGCTGTGCTGCCCTTGTACGGGACGGGAGAGCGGGATGCAAAGTCCTGATGTGAAAGGAGTGGAATTTGTTGTGTTGCACATCGTGGAGAGGAGTCTCCTTGGGTTTAATAAGTTTTAGGATACAAGTGAGTGTGGAGAGGAGAGGAAGAACACACTGCAAACAAGACTGGTGGTCTGTAGTGACATGTACCAGCCAGCTGTTGCCCATAGCTGTGACATGTACCAACTAGTTGCTGCTCTACCAGCTGTAAAGCAGTTAGTGTAGCTTTGAGGCTGCCACTACAAAGTAGTTATCTTCTGGCCTACAGGATAGACAGAATCCAGTTCTTCCCCAAACCACATTGGAGCACACAACTGCGGGAGTCGCGAGCCTAGGCGGGCCGAACTTAACTTCTTCTTAGAGCTTGAAGCACAAGAAGGGAAGTGTGTGCCTGCTGTGTTTTTAAGCCAAGTGTGTTGAACTAAAATTCTCTTCCCCCATTCTGTGCAGCAGAAGGTATCCAGCTCCTCCCATGAAGGCCGTCTTGGAGAGTCTCAGCTCAGTGGGCCAGCACATATGAGACCTTCATTCGAACCTCCACCGACGACCATTGCTGCTGTACCACCTTACATTGGTCCAGATACACCTGCTTTACGAACACTAAGTGAATATGCCCGTCCTCATGTCATGTCGCCAACAAACCGTAATCATCCCTTCTTTGTCCCCCTAAACCCTACTGATCCACTTCTGGCCTACCATATGCCTGGCCTCTACAATGTGGATCCCACCATTCGGGAACGAGAGCTGCGAGAGCGGGAAATCCGAGAGCGAGAAATCCGGGAAAGGGAGTTGAGAGAGAGGATGAAACCTGGCTTTGAGGTGAAGCCCCCAGAGCTAGATGCACTGCACCCAGCTACTAACCCCATGGAGCATTTTGCCAGGCATGGTGCACTGACTATTCCCCCAACAGCAGGACCTCACCCATTTGCTTCCTTCCATCCGGGTTTGAATCCCCTTGAAAGAGAGAGACTTGCACTGGCAGGCCCACAGTTACGGCCTGAAATGAGCTACCCTGACAGACTGGCAGCAGAGAGAATACACGCTGAGCGGATGGCATCGCTGACAAATGACCCATTGGCACGGCTCCAGATGTTCAACGTCACGCCTCACCATCACCAACATTCACACATACACTCGCATTTACACCTACATCAGCAGGATCCCTTACATCAAGGTGAGCCCAGGGAGATGGGCTAGGCAGTTTCCTAGGGAGCCTCTCTCATGAGCTGTTAGCAGCAGTCTACCCAAAACCCCCAACAAAGGCAGACTGAGACTCTGGAACTCAAGTAGCAAAATCCCTGTTTTCTTGTATATGATGGGACTTCTGTACTGTATAAGGTTGTGATAACTGAAATGCAAACAATTATTTTTTGGGAGGGTGGACCAGTAACAGTGATAAAGTAAATGATGGTAACGGTACAGCGATCTTCATAGAGACTGCACACTATCGCTGGAAAAGATTTGCTGGTTTGTTGTGGGGTTTTTTTATTTTTAAAAGTGCTGGAGTCCTAGAGGACCACCTTACAGTGGTGTCTGGTGTACAGGTGGAGACTCCATTGGGTGAAGGGAATTCACTAGGAGAGATGCCATGGAACTGGTAACACTGCTAATGCTAATGGCTGTTATGTTATGAGTTAGAGCTGGAAAGGAGCTGAAGCTGGTGTTTCCATATAGGAGCTGAAAAAAAAATTAGGAGAGAAAGGCTTCATCTCCTCAGCCGTTTGACATGCCAACCATCTGGCTTTAGTTGAGCTGAAATTCTCTGTCACAATTCTCATAAGAACCATCTAAATTTATGGGTTGGCATCTTTTTAGCTACAGTGTATTCTTACGTGTGGAAATTCTTTTCCCAAAAATATTTAAGAGTCTCAAAAATGCTCATTTCTGAAGCAGGCTACGTGGTTACTCCTCTAGAAGTCTGGAATCTGGAACCTGGAGTCTGGAAGATGAGGCACTAAGCAGAATTTTTCTGATTTTCTGGTGGCAGACTGGAGAGGACATAGCAAGCAAGGCACCAGGTGCAGTAGCTGCTAAGTAAGGGAAAAAAAAAAGTCCAAGTACTTAAAGTGCAGCTTCTGGTGCAGCTGGCTACAAATGTAGTGTTTGTGCAAGCAAATATAGCATACTTTGCCTTGGAGCAATATGCATTAAATGTAGCTGGGAGGTCTGCTTTTTGGAGTTTGGAAGGAATTTGAGTGCTGTTGCAGAAGCCAAATTGTATAGCAAGGAAATCAGCAGGGTCTTGTGAGATTGTTAAGGGGCGGGAAGTTACAGGTAGAAGATGATAGCGCTGAATATCAGCATTCTTAAAGCTGTCAGCTGTGGACTTGATTGAGACGGTGCACAAATTACAAATTGGTTCAATTTGAGGCAGGTTTGCATACCCCATTGATATCAGAAGAAATTTGTCATAGATCGTGTCTATACAAGGATTCTATTGTCAGGTAAGTCACTTACCCCTCTGTGCAGGTAAGTCTAGATACTCTAGATATTTGTTCTGGACAAAAATACGGCTAGTACGTTCTCATTCTCAGTCTAATGAGAGACTGCTGCCAACAAAGGCAAGTCAATTCAGTGTCAAGTCTCTTACCTGTATTTGAAAAGTGATTTGGCTTTAATCTTGGATACCAGGTTAAAATACAGTTAGGGGCTCTTGAGTGTCTCCAAGTAGTTCTTGCTCCAGAGTAGCTCCATAGGTGGGTAAGGCCTTGAAGTGTATAACCTGCATGTCCCCTTAGGGTGGGGATGAATAGAGTGTGAAATGACCACACATTTGGGCTGTGGACTAGAAAACAGCCGAGGGAGAATTGTGTTAGCTGTGTTGTATTCCTTTCATTTGTGGTTCCTCTGCAATCTGCTAACAGCTTAACGTTCTGAGATGTCAGATGAGCTGATGAGTATTTTTCACGTTTTGCTGGTGTCTTTTTTTCATCATACTGGTAAAGTGACATCAGAGAGGTTGCCTACAGGTGTCCCTCTCCATACAAGGATGGTGACAATGTCATCTTTTGCAAACAAAGGTTTTTGCCAGCTTTTGGCCTATCAAGTAGTGTTGGTAAAGTCAGAATGATGCTTAAGTGCTTCTCTACTAAATGTCACTAGTGATCCTTTCTTCAATTTTATGTGTACAAAGGGGAAATAGAGAATTTGGGGGAAAATTTTTCTAAATGTTGACCATCTTTGTTGTGAAGAGATCAGAGTTTTCTTCAGAAAGAGAGGCTGGGTGTCAGAGATTGATAGTTAAAGAAAAACACATTGTTTCCCTGTCACAATGCTGCAGTAAAGCATTCCACAGTTCTCTCTGATGGTTTTGGTTTTTTCTCAGTTGTTGGAGTTGAGCATATTCCTTCCTCAGGTTATTTGTGGGAGCAGATCTGTAATTCAAGTCACTTGCACTGATAGACAGAAATGGGATTGCTTATTTCCAAGGAATCTCCAGAAAAATCAACTGAAACAATTGCGTTTGTAGCAATATGTTTGAAGTAACTTGTAAAAGCTAAGAACAGGAGTTTCCTGGGAGAGCAAAGTAGTAAAATTTGGCCCAGAGATCCATGGATTAAGAGGTGTCCTCACATATAGCAGCACTACGGAGTTGAAAATAAAGCTAATGTGGATTTGCGCAGCTGCTTACGGTTTTGGCTGGGTTTTATCTCTTTGTGTCTTTTCTGTTTGTTGGGATAATAGTGGCCTGTTCCCCTGGCCAGTCCGTTGCGCAGGCGTACCAACAAGCAGTGGTAGGTGGAGGTGGGAACAAGTGGCTGGGAGGTAAAGACTGAAGAGCAAATTGCTTTCTTCAGAGTCCACTTAAGGTGTTTGACAATGTGTTTACACTCTGAACACGTGGTAAAAAAATGTAATTATGATAAGCAATTAAAAAAAAAAAGATCTGTACAGGGGAGAGATCTTGCAAGGCTAAGTAAAGGTAAAAGCAGATGTGTGCAGCAGGATTTCTGTTAAGTCTCCAGTTGTTGAACAGATTTCACAGCAACATCTCAATTTGCCTATGCTAGGCTGAGCCTGTCTGATTAGCAAGCACTGCTGCAATGTATATGGGGGAGTGTGAAAGGAATGTCTGAAAATGAAAACTTTAGTTACTTGATTTCTTTTTTCACACTTTTTTTCCCCCCCCTACCGCTTGGTGGATTTCTTTTTCCTGTAGAAATTGAAAGCCCTGGGTTGTTACTTTAACAATTAAGACTGTTTGGAAAGCAGATGTCACTTGAAGATAGAAAAGCGGGTTTCAAATTGGATGGAGCTAAGCTCCTGGTAATTACATGCCAGTTAGGCCAAATGCTGATCCAGCTCAAGTCTAACAGGGCTTTTGATCTCCCAACAGTGAGTGATGCTTCCCAAAGCAGTTGATGGCTTGCTTTCTTTCCTTCTTTTAAAGGTTCAGCCGGGCCTGTTCACCCGCTGGTGGATCCTTTAGCAGCTGGACCCCATTTGGCACGTTTTCCTTACCCACCTGGGACCATCCCCAACCCATTGCTAGGGCAGCCACCTCATGAGCATGAAATGCTCCGACATCCAGTCTTTGGTGAGAGCATTTTATGTTACTTTACAAAGGTTGGCTCTTGATCTGAACTGTCATCTTTTCTTCTGGGTCTTAGCATTTCTTGGGAGGGGAGGCAGCTGGACCCCATTTGGCACGTTTTCCTTACCCACCTGGGACCATCCCCAACCCATTGCTAGGGCAGCCACCTCATGAGCATGAAATGCTCCGACATCCAGTCTTTGGTGAGAGCATTTTATGTTACTTTACAAAGGTTGGCTCTTGATCTGAACTGTCATCTTTTCTTCTGGGTCTTAGCATTTCTTGGGAGGGGAGTTGGTGGAATTGAGCTGTAACTTAGGTTCCACCCAAAGGTTGGTTGGTTTGTTTTTAAAAAAAAAAAAAAAAAAAAGCTTCATGGGACAACTCTCTGCAGACCTCCTAGCAAACAAGTGTCTAAAAATGGGCAACTCTCTCTTAGGTACTCCTTATCCACGAGATCTGCCTGGTGCCATTCCACCTCCTATGTCAGCAGCCCACCAACTGCAGGCCATGCATGCCCAGTCAGCAGAGCTGCAAAGACTGGCAATGGAGCAGCAGTGGTTGCATGGGCATCCTCACATGCATGGTGGTCATCTACCGAGTCAGGAAGATTATTACAGGTGAGAGGTGCAATGAAGGCTTTTGGAGACTCGGGGGTGCTACGGCTTCCTTCATCTTTCTCCACATTCCATCTTTTTTCTTGCGAATTACTGCCTTTCTGCTGTGTGCTGAGTTACTGTCCTGATGCAGTTAGGGAAGATGGTGAAGCTGTCTTAAGACCTAATTTGGGCATAGGTGATAGGGCAAATTGGAAACCAGGTCCAAATTATTGGCACAGGATGTAGACTAGCTGAGTCTTACATTGCAGAATTACCTCTGATGGGGGTTTTCAGTGTGATACGACGATTGCTGCTTCCACATCTCTCTCTCTTCCTTGAGAAGAGTGGAGGAGGGTGGGTAAAAGCTTTATGAATGAGAAGAGGGGAGGAATTCAATAAATCTTAAGACATGACTAAAGGCAATAGGATTTGAAATGTGTGAATAATAGGGATCCTGCATTACCAGCTGAGAACACCTAGACGAATCGTGCGAGTTCTTTCTCCCCAGAATGCTATATGATGTTGATAGTAGAGTGGTTCTCTTCTTGGCCTACCTTATGTGACACACTACCTTATGTGACACTTGTTTGGCCATGACCACTGACAATATGTCAGCTAAGAAGAAAAAGCCCCAGCACCTAGCAAGGGTCATTCCGCATGTCTGTGGGTAGCGAGGATATATAGGAAGCAGCATATTAAACATCTGCCTTGCACTGCTTTACTCTGATGTTTCAGTCCTTGCTTCTGCTATCCAAAATTGCCTGCTGGCCTTGTGCCGTGGGGGCAGCCAGTCTGCCTGTCCTATCTGCAACTGCAGATAAAGCTACTGCGATGAGCTGGCACTAGTGATCTCACTCACGTGTGAGGAGCGCTTCGTAGCAAAAGGTCATCGCTTCCTCCCACAACAGTCCGTGTTATCACTGCTCTTACAATGGCTCTCATTTTTGTGCTGAAAGCTCACAAGTCCTGCTGCAACCTCTGTTCCCTTCAGGGCACTCAGGTGAGGTTAGCAGGAAGGCAGGCTATCTCTGAAGTGTCATGACACCTCCTTCGTTTTGTTAAAATGAGTTTTCTTTCTCTTTCAGTCGACTGAAGAAAGAAGGCGACAAACAGTTGTAATAAATTATTTATTTGTAATGCTGGCTATGGAAACCCCAGTCCTTGGGAAGGAGTGGAACATTTTTACATACAATAAGAGCTACAAAAGGAAAAGAATATCTTATAAAGATTTCTTTATATATTTAAAACAGAAACAACCACCCAACAAGTAGAGACTTATCAGCATAGTGTTCATTTGTAGAGAAGATTTCTCAAGACTGGTGTGGGTCTCCCTGCATGACAACGTATTCAGAAGCCTATTGAAAATACAGGACTGTGTGGAATATTCAGAGAACTTCCTGCAATCTTGTTTTTTTTTTTTTCTTCTTACTAGTTTGTTTTGAGTAGGTGCTAGAATCAGGTTCACAACACAAGTCACTGTGCGTGAAGAGACACTCAATGCATCTATAGCTATTTTAAAAAAAACAAGGATTGCAAGTAGGTGACATAACAAGCTCTGAATCCAAGTGCTATAATAATAAAAATCTACTTTTATTTTAATACATTGTAGGAAATCTTCATAATTTTAAAGAGAGCTCAGTTCTGCAGCATGGCTTTTTAAGTCTGTAAATAACTTTTTTGGGTAGAGGGGAGAAACAAAACAAAACAAAACTCCAGAAACCTTTATCTTGATTTTCAGTAACATCACAAATTGTGAATTCCTACCTGGTATTGACAGAATACAGAGTTGATTTTTTAATAAAATATATATATATAGTTATCCCTTTAATTAAAGGGAATGATGGGTATCAATAATTTCAAATGGGTAAAAGCTTGAAATTTGGTTTGATATCAACAATAAGCATTAAAGGGAGTTGCAGGGATAATGTTGCAAATGACTGTTTCTGTTCTTGGTTTTTTGGTTTGTTTGGGTTTGTTGGGTTTTTTTGTTAGTGTTACATCTCTGTTCTGCAGATGATTTCTGTTGAGTTGGGTTTCTCAGCAGTACAGGTGTCCCTTGGAACCAGCTTACCCTTTTGATGCCTACTTCAAGGGTTAATTTTCAGTGTGGCCATAATACACTTCTTTCCTATTACCTTTTGAAACTTAATCTAATACATTGGTTTTAGACTTTAGGCAAAGGTTCAGAGAAATAATCTGTTCTAAAATCTCTTTTTAAAAATGTTCCGTGGCTCAAACTAGTACAGCCAGAATTTTGTATGCATGTGCATATTTTTGGAGGACGTGCTCTTTCTGGCCTCTTATGTTTGATATGTTCTTAAGGAAAGTGGATAGGCAACTCAGTTAGTGTTCTTAAAGCTGTTTTGCAAAGACCAGTCTGTATTTCTCTTTGACTGTTTTAGTTTTGTTTTTGTAAGCAAAAACTTTTTAATTGCCACCAGTGTTCTGTATCTCAGGAACTTACTGCTTTGGGATTAACCGGATATATGGACAATAACATTTACTGACTCCCAACACAACAGGCCCATGCAGAATAACTCCTGTTGGCTAGTTCCCATGTGGATGGTAAAAGGAGAGGAATACACAGAAGGCCAGTGAGCATTATTTTGGAGACAGCTCTGCTTACTGTCTAGGCAGATTTTTTTTTTCACTGTTTTGCCATGGGTTTTCTTTGCCAGAGCAGAGGGTGATGCAACCAACAGACATCTGAATCTGCTGGCCATTTTTTCTGCTGGTGCATAACTTCCCCCCATTCTCTCTCTTAACTCACGAGCGCTCTCTCTCTGCTGTTGTAGACTGTTCAGTGTGGTGGTTGTGTCATAGGACTGTACTGAGCCATGTTTGATAAACTTGTAGTTGATCATACATTCTGATGGAAGGCGTGGCATTCATAGTGCTTTATCCACTTCATGGGTCTCAAAACGGTGTCAGTGCCCAAAGATTACTGTCGGACAGTTAGTAACCCCAATTTACTGATTAAAAACATGCATCGGGGTATTCTAGGTGCACTTGAGGCAAGAGTGTATAGGAGAGAGAGGAGAACTATTTCAGCTGATGTTGATCTTCCTTTTTTTCTGTCCTCCATTCCAGATTTCTCAGTGCTAAAGAACTGCAATAGCATTTAATCAGTTCCATCTGCTATATTTGAACTCTCTGTGAAGGTATTAGGAGGAACAGCTAGTGTTTCTGAGATTTGGAAACCATGAGGTCAATCTAAAATCGAGGATGGTAAAGTCTTCTTCAGTCAATGCCTTCAGTCGCTGTCTGCAGTGATCAGGTGAAATGGTTTTATTCTGAGTAACATTTTTTACTTTTGGTAACAGTGGAATAGCTAGTAAGATCAGTCTGCTCAGCAGAGAGAGTGCCTCAGATTACTTTAAAGGTCTAATTAGGCACATTTCAGTTAAACCTCCCCTCCTTGTTTTTACCATGTGGAATTTGGGAGTTTGGGGGAGTTCAGGCACTTCAGCCATTTCTTCTGATCCTTCTCTTTTGCTGTTATTTTTAGCTATTTTTCTTCTTAAGGAAAAAAACAAAGCTAATTGCTTTCCATGGTCCTCTCTCTGTGGTTTTTCTTTTTCAGCTGAAGTTTGCGGTCTATTCAAAAGCTATTCATTGATCTCTTTTTTTTTTCTTTTCTCTTTTTTTTTTTCCCCCCTCCGAAAAGCATTCTGATAATTTGTGGGAGTTTTTTTTGTTCACATCATTCAGCAAATAAGGACTGAAATTCTTCCATTTTAGACCAGCGATTAACTACAACTTTACATGCAGTGGTTTTTGAAGCCATCTTGGTGTTTGATGCCCTGTTAAAACAACCCAGACCTTTTGATTTTCTTTAAGAAATCTCTCTTATTTTTCCTATGTTTTGAAAGTTTATTTTTTAATTTTGCTTTAGTGTTTTTGAAACGTCTCTCTTGTTCTATGTCGTCATGGTTGAGCTTGTTTCACTGCACCGTTAAAGCAGAGTGTACATTCTGACTGCTACATTTATATATATCTTGAAGCTTAATGTATATATGAGTAGTTTGCCATGGGATAACACAGTGTAAACAGAGTAGAAACCCAGAAATCGTGACTTCTGTGTTCTCTCCATTTGAGTATTTTGTAATTTTTTTGAAATATTTGTGGACATAAATAAAACCAAGCTACACTACAGCAGCCAGGTTTTGCCTGCAAGCGAAATGTGTCTGTTAATTGTTGTTAGTGGGAAAAGAGTTATTTTCATCTGGGATAATATGGGATGCCGGCATGGCCATCTTGTCTGTTTCAAAGGTGTCTTGTCTTTCTTGGCTTTATTTTTTCTTTCTTTAAGGCCATTTCATTTTTAATATACAGTACACAAAACACCAACATCATGTCCAGTTCCAGAGTATATTCTGCCTCCCTGAGGCACATTTATGCTTTAGGGCCATACTGCGTAACTTTGGCATGTTTTTCTGTAAGTTAAGCAGTCAAATTGATAAGGATGAATGTGTAAGGATGTTTTGGCTGCCATGACTTCAGGGGCTTTCTGTGTACAATGGTCATATATTGTAGCCACTGATCTGTCTGAGCACAAACAAGTAGTTAAAATGAAGTGTGTGGATAAGCTCTCATTGCATCAGCCAAAGAAGAGTAGAAAGACGAGAACTTCTAAACCAGAGAGGACAATTCCCCTAGTTTCAACGGAGTAGGAAAGACTGCATGCCGACATCGTTTAAATTTGTCTGTGAACCAAAGGTGTTCAGAAGACATGAAAGGGAAAATGAGGCCTGATGACTCATGAAGTGTAAGCTTGAAATTAGATATAGTACACTATATATACCCCAGTAGCTGAGTTTTTCATGCATCTTGTTTTCTGAGAGATGATACTTTGTGCCAGTAGAGTCGTCTTGCACACAACTGATACAGAGCTGGCAAGAGATGCATTCCAAAGGGATAATAACTGTAGAGAGAAAGATGCCCAATAACTCATTGTCTATTCATTGCCTGCTGAAAAGCTAAAATTTGCTTTCCAGTTGCATAAAGTTACATGTTTGTGTACATTTGTAATGGCTCCCTGTCTTCCATCTATCAGGGATTATAATGTATTTGTGTGAGCTAGCTGTTTGTGTGTTCTATATTTGCAGTTCCTGATAAGCAGTGTCTCCAAAACTTTGGAAAATGTTGTGATGCCACAGAGGGAAGTGGCGAGTATCTTTACAGAATAAATGTTTGGTCGAAAGGGAGACGGGAAGGCTACGTTCTTGATCTGGTTCTGCTTTGGTTTTGATCTGTGATTTTTCAGAAACAGTGAGGTATTTTGACTCCAGTTCAAGCTAATTAGTGCTCTGAGTATAGTGAGAAAAGAGAGCCCTGTTGTTTGAGTGTGCTTGAAGCAGACGGAGAAGTATTCATGACAAATTGCACGGGAGTTTGGAGCTGCATATTTGAAGAGGCTGCTCTATTTATACCCTATGGCATTTTATAAGGGGAAGGTCAGTTCTTGTCTACTGGAAATAGCTTCTGAAAGTGCTTTTTCTGAGGCTGGCTTGAACACGTGCTATGGTATTTATTTTGACATTTCTTTTGGTTTTTTAATTCCTGGTACTTAACTTTAATGGGCTTAGGCTGCCTTGTGGAACTTGAATGGGCTTAGGCTGCCCTCCCTTTCTTGTAATGGGTTCTAAGTTTCCAGACTTTAAATGGTGAACCCTACAGGGACAAGGCCGAAGAGGATTTTTATTACTGCATAAATTGAACAATGCAGTTCCTATTGCAATATTAGTCTTGTGTTAATGATGCCTTGCCATCGCAAGGGTAAAGGCTGGAAATCCATCTATCGCACGGCTTTGTTATATGCACGTTACCAGCCTTCATTCCAATGTCACGTCAGCTGTAAAAAGCAACATGGGCAGTAGGGTTTCAATCCTTCCGAGGCCATGGATCGCTTTTTACAACTTACATTCGTTTAGGTACAAGGAGAAAAAGTGAAGCCTGGTGTTTTGCTCAGGAATATGATTTGCTGTTCTTTGAACGTGAAAAAAGTTAGCTCTTCTATTGCTTGTTGTGAAATTTCTGTTCTTTGCATTGCGTTTGGTCCCTGAAGATCTTAAAGCGCCTTTCTTTCTCTCAGGCAGTGGTGGCGAGGGGCGGTGGGGCTGGGCTGCAGGCGGGGTCGGTGTGTGTGGAGCTGAGGGGGCCCGGCGGGGCGGGGGGCAGCCCCGCTCCTCAGGCAGCACCTGGCCCAGAAGGTTCCGGCACCTGCTGCAGGTGAGTCCCTCAGGCCAGGCGGCATGGCGGCCTGCAGGTAAGAGCCTCTCCCCTGCTGTGACAGGGAAAAGGGGTGACGCTGCTGTGACAGGGAAAAGGGTGACAGAAAGGTGGAGGGAGGGAGTCTTGGGGCACAGCGTCTTCTCTGAGAGCAGCCATGCCTGTTTGCCTGTGGAGGGAAGCCCAGGCCTTGGGGTACACCATCACCCGGCCCCTCCTGGCGGTGTTCCTTGATCCCAAAGGGAGACAGCTTCCCCTCTGCCCCTCCTGGTCGTGTCCCTTGGTCCCCAAAGGAGCTGGGTCCCTCTGTGCTCCTCCTGGCAAGTATTCCTTGGTCGCTGAGGTGGCCAAGACCCAGGGGCTTGTTCTGTTTGCTCAGTTCCATCCATGTTCCTGTGACAGGTGCTCTGCCATATGTCCCAGTCAGCTGCTCCTGCGTTGACAGTCCCAGATGTTTTTTCTCCGTTGCTTTTGTATGTGGCAGGTAAGC